GAGGAAGAGAAGGGAGGGAGGAGAGAGAGAGAGAGAGAGAGAAAGAGAGAGATATTCTGTCCCGAGGCTAAGCTATAAATCGCATCGCGGAGCTTATCAGAGTGGGATATTCGTCCGGAGTATACCGCGGCTCTTCCTCTCCCCTGGGAATAAAAGAAGCACGGCGGAGACGAAAAAAGGAACAGAAGGAAGGAGAAGAAAACGATCGAGAATTCAGACCTGGGTTTGCCGACCGGAGCGCTCACTGACCCCTGACGGCTCCAACCGAAGCGGACGTCACGAGAAACCTTTACCTTCGTTACCTTGGTAGTATTTAAGGATCTTCCTCAGCGTGCCGTATATACAGCTATGCAGGTACTTAGATCTTTATCCGACATTGCCCGTCATGAGGGGATACTCTACTGAACTTGAAACCTCCTCGAGAGCCATTATCGGTTTGCGAGATACCTCCTCCGTGGCGAATTGCCTGTGAAATTGTACCTTGCGCCCTAAGTACGACGTAATAGGAGACGAAGGTATTAGAATATTCGTTTCGTTCGGTGTGTTCTATGTGCGCGTCGTCGAAAATCCGATTGTCACGCGGGCAACAATCGTCGGCGGTTCAATCAGATCGTCGAATTTCATGCTCGCTTATTCCCAATCCGACCGTGATCGTTAAACGCTTGCTTTGCGTAATAAATGCGTGAGTAGATAAAACCGAAGCGGCCGGCTGCTTTAAATCGATGTCTCGTAACGCTCGAGTGACATTCAAAGGTTCCGAATGCGGCCGCGTCGACAGTGCCGGGCTTAATCGAGATTCCGTTTAACCGAGAGCTCGTTTACCCGCTATTCGATCTCGTCACTTTTCTTTAAAGATCACCGAAATGTAATCGGGGGAGACGATGTGAAGATCCTTTCACGATGCGCTATTTATTCCTTTCTCGATGTCCCTTGCGATCCGATCGGCACTGATAACGGTACACGACGATAGAACATACGCGTAAAAAAAGGTATCTGCGCACATTATTTAAATGCGCGTCGACCGCACACTCGCGGCGAAGGTAACGCTGCGTTTATCAGCGGGGCATTTAGCACAACGTGAACCAATTAATTTCTAGAACTGGCAGCAAGTTAATTACGTTATCAGTCATTACAAGACATTGTTGCGAAACGCGCTCAAAGTGACTCCCGCCTCAGGATAAGAGCCGTTTACAACAACCGACCAATGGCGGTCGAAGATGATAATTCTAATTGTACATTATAGCGTGCAAGTCACGAATATTATTGCGCGATGTCTATTCGTGTTGCACGAGCTCACGAGGCATTCCCTCGATATTCTCGCTGACTGCAAAGATACAGCAACGAAATGCTGTTGTTTCTCACCGTCTTCTTTGTTATTGTCATCCGCCGCCCTATTGTAAGTATTTCAGTTTAATATTTCATAATTGGAAGAAATCCTTTTTGATAAAGTTTCTTAAAAACATAGAAAATGATGTAATCGTGTTACAGGCTTCCATAAAATATACCAGCAGAATCATAGATGAATTTTTAACGATTTATGAAAATCCTTACTTCTCTTTTGAAATATTAGAATCAAATAATAATACTGTATATTTAACTATCGTGGAACCGATAATGTATGCTGACAACTTACGTGTGAGTAATAAAAAATATTTTAAATTACACATAAATGTAAAGATAGCAATAAGAAATAAAAGTTTAATAAATTTATTGTTTATTATGAAAATAGAATTTGTGACAATTAAATAGCTGATATCGGAAGCATTTTATGAATTTTATAAAACGTTAACTAATATCAGTGCTGCCAGTCGGGCCGGATTGCCCCTCCAGTCCCTTCCAAAAACCAGGCTATGCCCAGTAACGTATTGTAAGCGTGCGGATCCCAGTAAATATAAATCTAAATTTTGATTTTCTTGATAACACAGATTGAAGACTAAATTTATGAAGAATAAGATAGGATAAAAATAATTATTTAAAAAAAGGAATAGGATGAGAATAATTGTAAAAAAACATTCTTGTATAATTATAAAGAAATACTTTATTTGGCAGAAATTATTAAGAATAACAACATTTGTTGCAAGGGTAAGGAAAACTGCCAAAAACCTTACCAATATCTGTCTGTTCACTGGGATTGTGCCAAAACTGCACCCACAACACGTTACTGTGGTTACCATGGTTACCATGCGCGCGGCCTAGCCGTTGGAGGGGCAACCCGGCCCGACTGGCAGCACTGACTAATATATTAAAAAATTCCCTGTATTATATTGATGACATAAAATTTTTTATTTAGTTAAAAATTATGGCGAGATAAGATTCGATGGAGTGGAATTTCTCATTTCGAATATTCCTACACCACTTTGTAATATTTTAGAAGAAGAAGCAACGAATCAAGATGATAATATTTTTCGTAAACTACAAATTACAAAAGTTTTCAGTATGAATGGAATGCACTGTCCTATACCTGCTGTAAGTTGCAAAAACTCAATTATTAAAACAATTAAAATAATTTCAAATAATTTTTAATGGTTAATTTACTGATGTAGATGACGAGAAAACTAAAGCCATATATATTTCCATCGCACATTACATTGGAAAACGACATTGGCTGTGGACAATTTACGTACAGAATAACTATAGACATCTGTGATGAAGAAAATCTATATAACTGCGTACCAATGATTTCCGCAAATGTAATCGTAGATTCACAGACGGAACATTGTTCCAACAGTTTAATGTAACATATTAAACTTTTAATTTTTTCATAGCGTTAAATTAACAATGCGATATGTGCGCGCTATCATTAATTGTTTATATGATGTAATATATTGTTAGATATTTCTATAATAATAATGATATTATATATTTCACACATTGTTATCATTGTTAAATATTTATAACTTGACATTGAATCGCGAAAAATGATTGTGTGGACTTAGAGGATTTATAACTTGATTACATAAGCTCAAGATAGACAATATCATACCATTTATGAATTTTTCGTGCCTTTCAAGATCTTGAAGATGGATAACGAGGTGCCAAGTTTCATAAGCACATCCTTGCTTATCGACTGCCTGCATCATTGACACAATGTGTATTGGTGTATACGTACGGATACGTATACAAGTCAGTACGAATAGCTCGCGAGAGAAACCGTCTAAACGTCTTATCAACCTTCATCGGATAATATCGGTGCCTGAACCTGAACGTAATGTTTATGAGTAATGGTTCGAGATCGTGGCAGTAAGGTCGACTCCAGTGAACCGTACACGGAATTTGAGATTTAGATACAAGTATCGAATTTGCTCTGGACAACCTGCATTATCGTTACGCATTATAGTCCTGGCCCGTTTGGATTTGTCTGTTATTCTGCTTCGTATCAACTATTCAATTGTCGCATTATGTAAATTCTGTCGAGCAAAACCTTTAACGTCTATAAGCTATACATATATTTTAAACAAATATTGTAGGTTCAAGTTTATTTTAATCGTTATTATTAACCATTCCAGTTGTATAGCAAAGCTTGACACTTAACGAGCTTAATAGATTATCAACTCTTAAAATTTTTTATTTGTTTTAATATTAATGTTTTAATAATTTTGCAGTAAATTATTGTATAATGTGTAATTATTATTATTTTCAAATAATGCTACACACATAAATGTTATATTTAATAATTTATCAGAATGTTGATCGCAGCTATAGAAAGCGTTACCGTAACTGTAATGAATAGAAATGGAAAAAATGCTGAGTTGATTTGCATAGATAAATACGTTGTTTTCTAATTAAAATATATTATAAATATAATGGGTCATAAGTTATCAAGATTATTATTTTAAGTGCAAACGTAACGGTTTCCGCATCACGTTCCCTTCATTCTTAATTAATGACACTGCGAGAACTAATTAACCGTACGTGTATTATACGTGCAAGTGCAAAGTTGGTCGTGTGAATGCTGGCATTGATAAAAGTATGATAACGCGACTGGCTTTTACGGCGCAAATATATTCATCGCATACGACGATACAGAATATCATAAGCAGTGCATGACACTCTTTACAATAAACAAGGATAAGAGAAGGAGAGATCGCATTGGCAGTGAAATTCACCGATGCATACAGCGTCGCTTGAGAAGTGTGAATATATGTTTCTCGTTAAAATCGGGCAAATGCATTGCTAGCGGAATGTGCCTGCTCGCGCAGCGTACATGTAAAATTGTCTTGCCTGCTCGTCGCTATCGTACGTGTATCTATACGCAGGATCTGCATCTCGCGAAGGCACAGAGCCTCACAAATGACGTCAGCAAGCTTTATCGAAAGAACAAATAAGCTTAATAATCGCGCGGAGAGGCATTTGCCAATCGGGCTGGTAGAGCGGTCGAAAGCCGGTCGAGAGGTGTCGATAAGGTCAGACTTTATCGCGAATTCCAATACGCCCGATAAACATTCGAGTATGAAGAGCCTGATTGCGAGAGAAAACCTGCCTCGAAAGGCTCGTGTGTAGGGAGAGAACGCGGAGGATCGGGAGTGCCGAGGAGGGTGGAAAGGCTTGGCCAGCGAAGGTGATTCATTAGTCGTACAACACGGAAGTGTTTGGACCATGAGGATTCCCGACGTGTTCCCGTCCGTACGTGTGTGCGGTGCACGCGTGTGCACCATGCAGGATCTCCGGGGCCAAAGTGGGCACACTGTGGGCCTCCGCACCTTATTATGCGCAACAGGGGCCTCCCGAACGAGCCGGGCGTTTCGGCCGATCCTCGACTTTAAGACAGGATATATTACAATAATTCTTTCCGTTCGATTGCAGACCAGTCTGCTTTAAACGCGACGTCATTGCTCCTCTTTCCACGACCGAAGTCATCCACCTCGCCGTGAGAGGTATCCCGCAGGTGAAGCAGATGCAAGGGTCCAATGCGAGAAGTAGAATGCTAAAGAGTTCTTAATACTGTACCGCGACCCGTTACCCCCTGTAGCTAATCTAGAATTTATGTCGCCTGTAACTTACCGAGGCGCACTTTATTACGTCCGGAATATGAGAATTTCATCTGCCGTGTGACCCTGCGACGATGTCGAACAGGTTACTTGATACGCTTCTCGTGACGTCAATTTATGATCACTTAGAATTCCATCCGGTTCCATTAGATGCTCACGATATCGAGTTTTATTTCGTACTTGACATTGAATAGTTTGTTAAACTGACTTGTTAAGTTTCGCAAAAGATTATATATATGTCACAAATTTCTTTTTCTAGAAAATACCGGAATTTTATACATAAATATACACACACGCCATTCGAATCGCAAAGTTTTTACCATTAAAAGTATTTAATCTTGTTGAAGTTGTCGAGATTATATCGTTATCACTTGTAATTTTCAAGAATTCATAAACTTTTATTACGTTAAAGCCTAAAGACACTCGCGCAGCTAGTATCCTCCTCGATGTTAATATCGCGAAATCATTTCTCGAATTGCAAACGATAATTACTTCGCCGGTATGCAAGCGAAGTCACTGTGGCGTTGTTACGGAGTGGAATATCATGAACCTGTCCGCCCGTAAGATTACCGAGTGTCTCAGATTCCGTCGGAGCGCCTATTAGTAATAGCGCGGAGTCTTCTCACGCACCGCAAGGACCGCGAATTCTGCAGATTGCTTCTACTTCCTGGTTTGCCTTGGCTCATTTCCCGCTTGCGATCAAACGGTATCCCGTCGGTATAACCCGGAGAATTCGCCGACCTTCCACCAGCAATGCGCGATAACGCCGGGTCAAGTAATAAGTAACAAATCCCTCGGAATTTTCTACGCGTACGAGCAAAACACCTTCTGATCGGAGGCATCTGCCAGTTTTCAAACGCGATTGATTAAACGTCGGATAATAATCGGTCGATTAGCCTTATTGCGCGTGGAAACCCACCGCCAACTTACAAACTATCTAATTGCGTACGTCGTTAGTCAAGCTTGAGTGAATTGTCGGGTATAATACGCGTCGATTATATTTATCTGCAAATTGATATGCTCTGGCAGCGTTACTATTTTCGCCATTACTAGCAACGTAAGATATTTCCTGCAGCGTTATCGTTACTACGCTGTACTATCGATCGTAAATTATGCTACGCGTAAGCAATATTGCGTCACCAATTAATATAATTGTAATCGTGTATACATGTGTTATCAATTATGCTCGTATTTAAATAATAAATGAATATTTGTACTCACCAGCGAGGCTATTGCAGTATGCTTCACCCGCTGCAGATTCCGTCTTTACAATTAAACTGCTCCGTGTCCATCGACTCCACCGATAGTTCCATCGAAGAATTGATATATGTATATCAAAAGTTAATAAACGCGATACATTACTTTCGAAAATCATAAATTTCCTTGCAAATTTGCCACGGTTGCTTACACGGAATACAAAATACTGACTGTAAACATAACCTACTTCAATCACACTCCAGTCACTAAATAATTGATGAAATACAATTAATCATAAATAAATAATACATTTTGCCCGTCACTTTAATCGGCACTCCCGACTAAAATTTGTACTTATTATGTATGGATTGACACAAATTGAACGGATAAAATATACATTTAATTACAAAACACTTATACTTTACGTTCCGATGTCACGAACGTCACGACAATACGCCGAGAAAAAATTCAGGGCGGCCAGTAGTATAACACGCGCAATCTCGTGGCTGCCGTATGCATTATCTATTGGCCACCCTGCGCATATTCCGGCATAGTTTTAGAACGCTTTGAGTGCGAATGCTTGTAATTACAATTTTATATCCATATTAATTTGTATTAATCCGTGTATAATGAGTGCAAGTTTTTATCAAAAATACTAATTAAAGTAATGAACAATTACTGGAATGTATTATTTATCGCTGTGCGGTTGACAGCATTTCGTCGATCGTTTGGATCGCCGATTATTTGAAACAGGTTATATTTCAAGTACAGATTTTGATGCACGAACGCTCTACAGTTCAATTACATATCATATCAGTATTAATTTGTATTAAAAGTACAAAACAAATGCAAATCTTTTTTAGGAATGCTGATCAAAGTAATAGGCGATTGTCAGAATGTATTGTTTGCGATTAGTACGTTCGCATTTTGTCGAGCGGCCAGACAGCGATTTAAAACAGATTGCAATGTGAGTATACATAGTCTTAATTCAATGATGCGTTATAAAAACTGTATAGGCTATTAAGAAAGTAGTGTGCATAGGTTTAATTGCGTTAAACAGGCCGTGTGAACATATACGATCCGCCTCGCCGTTATGCGTAAAGTTGGTAATTGTGATGTTGTGTGCGCGAAGTTTTTTTTTTGCAGTAACCTAGACTGTTTCTACGGTGCGAAACGCGCACTGTAAATTAGTTTTATAATTAGTCGTGTATTTTATCTATATTAATCTGTATTAATCTGTGTATAATTAATGCGAATTTTTGTCGGGAATGCCAATTAAGATGATGGGCGATTGCCGAAATGTATTATTTATCGTGGACGTTTTCGACTAATGATTCATGAATCATCTGCAAGCGGTCAAATTGTGGTTAGAAAGGCTATCATTGTCAGTAAATAGAAATTTTGCATGTAAAATAATTTTTACATTCTTTCAAAAGATTAAATCGCAGTGTGCTTTTTATTAAATATAGCATTTGAAAATTTAGTTCTTTGGAATAAAATTACGTATGCTTGATCGCCAAAACAATTGCCGCTCGTCTTGTTTATTTGGAACAAGAATCAACACACTGAATCAATTGTCAAACGAGAAAAATAATGATAATCCGACAGTTGTTTATGTCGTGCGATAAACGTTGCGGCAATCATCTCATGTTTACGTTCCGTGTAAGTATTACAGTACAACGTGACATAAATCCATGATTTTCATATAGCTAAAATACGCATTTATTTTTTCCATAGTGCTTGCAACGTTTAAGTTTCGATTTCCGATATTCATTGCTTCGATGGAGTACAGAGCAGTCTAAAATGGAAATCGGGTGGAGCAAACTGCAAACTGCTGGTGAGTACAATTATTTATTTATTACTTAAATATGTACGTAAATGTTAGAACATATACATACACATATAATTATAATTTGCATTTATAAAATATTATACTTATTATATATAAAATGTCTGGAAATATCTATTAAAATGTTTATTAAAAAACTTATTAAATATTTTTAAAAAATTTTGGAAGAATTATTTATTCATTTTATTGCATATAGTTTTAATCAAATTATGGTTTAATTAAAATAAAAATTAAATAATCAATTAATTAAATAATGATAATCATCATACCTAAAATACATGATAATTTTTAATAATTAAAATATTAATTTTTTTAGGTACATCCGTACTTATTGTTAGTTGGGGTACAACGACCGGTAAGTAAATTCATTCATTATACTTGCATAACGTCACAGACCGTGCTTTGACAATTACATTTTCTCTTGCAATTTGCATTTTTACAAATAAATAATAGGGTTACAAATATATAATTATTTTCTTCTTATTTTCACAACAACAAAAAATTATTATTTTTACGCAAGCCATGTATACAATTTATTATTCTTAAACGTAAAATTTAATGGAAATATTAATTATTAAAAATTGAATTTATATATAGAAAAAAACTAAAATTTTGAAGATATAAATTTTGGAAATATAATATTCAAAATACAAATTTAATATACATGAGTATATTTTTTATTTTATTTTATTAATATATTTAATTATGTCATGTTTTTTTCAAAAAAGCAAATTGTCAAAATATGGTTTCAAGTACGCAGTTTGCTGGTGCGACGAAAATGTGCGACTGTAATTATTGATTCAGTTGCTTATATGCAATTAATATAATCGACTCATTTTTATGGCGCGGACGGTTCTTTGTTTCGCTGGGCATCATAGAATTGAAAAATTTATTAAATACGACATGCTTTGCGAAAATTCTCTTGTAGAGTGGCTAAAAAAGTATATTATATCTTTTCTGCAATTCTATTATAATCTTTATAATTATCTGAACAATTCCTACCTGTTGTTTAATTTATAGCTCACAGTTATAGCATAAATTGTTTTATTTCGTGTTTCGTGTATCGCGGAGTGACAAAACCGCAAATGTATATGTATGTATAAATCCGTAGTTTTCGAAAGTAAAGTGTCGCGAGTTGATTTTTGGTAGTGCGCGTAAAGTAAGTGTGGAATTTCGAGGCTGATGGAGTGATATGAAGCAGTCTAAAGCGGCATTTGCGACGGATGGAATAAACATTGCAACATTTGGTGAGTACCTACTTATTTGTTCATTACTTGAATATGTACATAATTGTGATGCACAATTGCGATTACACAAAGGAAAATATGTGAGAAAAACGGTCTTGATTGGAAGTTTCCCGCGTGTTTAATTATAAAGATGCCCAGACGACTGAAATATCGACGATATTAGCGTATTCGTATGCGATGTAAGATCGGACAAAGTCGCAGAGATTATATACGCGGACCTTCGCGCGCCAGCAAACTTGCTTGCAGCGTGACGAGTCGCAAGTCATTCAGCATTCCTGTTACGGACTCGGAGAATCGTGTGCTCGGTTCTCTTCGGTCCTTTTAGCCAGCAGCCAGCGTTGGTCCCAAAAGGACCGAAACGCGAAGCCAGTTCCAACTAACCGCTCGCACATGCGCTCACATATACAGTTTACGAGAACTTGACTGCCAAGAGTAAATGCGATACGAACGCGTTTATTTGCGTCATGAAAACAACAGTATCGCGACAGTTAATGCCTGCTAGAACAATACACATAGAAAAACGATGATATGAAATGTTTTCTGTTAAGCACGCAGAGAATGAATAGAATGGTAAAAACGAGCTTAATGGATTTCTCTAACTGTTTAACGACTTGCGTATTCGAGTTCCGTTAACTGTTTGATGAGAGCTGCGTTAGCCTTGTGCGTTAAATTGATAATGTTTCTTGAATATAATTATTATCATGTTATTTGGACACGCATATTGATCGACTAATTGATTTATGTTGTAATTTGTATTATGAATTATCTATCTATGCTATGAATACTATCTATGCTATCGATACTACGAATTATATTATGGATTATTGATACTGTTATCCATATATTATGTATCAATTATTTTTCTACAATCTATTAACAATATTGGAAAAATTCTAAATTCTTACCGATGGCACTGCCGCTTAAGCTCTCGCCGAATACTGCTACGCGTACGAATAAACCGCAACGCACCGCTTCCAAGGGAGCTTGCGCGTTTTTCTCCCTTCTCGAAGGTTGATAACCGCTGGTCCGGCTGCAAGCCGTTCTGCACACCGTCATCCATATCTGTCGCACGCTGGATCAGCCGCGTCGGAAGCCTACGCTCAGATTGTTCTGTTGCGGACCACGATTCTCACAGCCCCTCGAAATTTATCGCGCCGCGTCCGGTATCGCGCGTATCGCCGCTCGCGAAAAAGCATTCGTGATTCGCCAGCCGTTTGTTGGTAGTCACACGACGGTGTGTAGCAGCCTTTAACCTTTAACGGATCGGTTAAGCTTCCCGCGATGCCGCTGATCGTCTCTTCCGATTAAACGCCGGTCGCACCGAAAAAAGTAAAACACCGATCGCTGCTGCACGATAATGTCCTCTCCCCATTTCACCGCGAGCGCTAATCAATTCATCTTCCCTCTCGAAAAAGCGCCGTATCGAAGAGCCTCTTTTCATCGGCAATTAAACGCATTTAATGGTGCTTCTCGTTGAAGGGCATAGCGCTACGTCTCGGCCGACACGGGGACGCCAGCCCTCAATGGCATTCTGTCCGTACGGAATAACGCGTGCGCCAGGAAAATGCTAACCGCTTGCTCAAGGCATTATCGTAAATACGGAAAATGAGTATCTGTTAAACAACCGGTCCTTATATTGTTTATGAGCGTGATCAACGCAACCGTCGATTACATAACGGCCGACGTCATACGCGTACACGCACACTCCATGCAAACTGGTCCTCTGGTCCTACCGGTTGACTCCGGCCAAACGACCACCGGCCGATGCTACCCTGCACCTTCCTTCCGACGCGTCCTCGCTTCTGATTTCCGTGGATCATAGAAATCACGTTTATGTCACTCGGAAGCAGATCCAGTATCATTTAGTCCGTTTACATTATTTTCATTATTACGAAAAAGTTTTTATCGCTTTATTTGCAAAAAAGTCTTCGAACTAAATACTGAATTATAATTAAAAACTACAATATCTTTATAGATACTTCTCACTTAATTACTTGTCTATAATGTACTTGTAGTCACGTTTTATATCGTCGTTGTAGCATGCAGTCTATCACTATTTCTCCAGATTTTCCACACAAATTGTTTAATGAAACCATTTGCAGAAAAATCATCACGGCAATACACAAACTTCTGTTAACGTTCACACGTTTCACTATGTTTTCAAATAAATGGGGAATGTCAGGGTAGATGTTTATGCATATTTCTCGCCTCCAATTAGTCGAGCAACCGGTCTATCACTTGCCGTTTAAGAGCGGAAACTCGGTGTTGACTCTTCATAGTCTTTACAATAATTTTTCTCATTTGAAGTTTATGCGCGGCACTGCAATATACCGTCGATTACCGTATAATTAAACGCGGATCTCGCTACAGAATGTTCGCAGTGATGCAACTGGTTCGACTCGCCGAAGTCGAGTACCGGCGCCGGTTTACCGTTCGCGTACGCGGTACCAGGAGCAAATGTGGTCTCCAGTGGTAGCGCTCTGAAGCGACACCTGCGAAGAGACGCTACCCTCTTCCTCTTCTTCTCGAGCCTTCGTTCGCGGGCGCCCCTCTCCCTCCCACTCTCCCCCCAAACTCAAGTCGCTTTCTTCCTTCTTCCTTTTCTTCCTCTTTCGCCGCTTCGCTCCCACTTCTCGCGATAACAATGAGGTTACGAGTATCCCGCCGATATAATGGCGGCGATAGAGAAACACACCACGTTGATTAACAATATCCGTGGAGGATCGAGTCGCGCGGTTAAAACGTGACGTCGAAAAAGGCGGAGAAATTAATAGCGCGACTTGTCTTCTCGCAGGTCTTAATTCGCATACCGTTCATTTGCCGCGAGTACACTCACGTCGCACATAAGCGCGTTAATAATAACGTAACAAACGCACTGACAATCAGCACTGCCGTGTCTCGGGCGCACCGAAATGTACATTTCGTTAGTAATTGCATCTTACGTATTTGGAGAGACGTCGTTAAGCCGAGAAGTATTATGAAAAAAAGCAAGGAGAAAAAGAAACGTAATGGCTATGAGTTCGTTCGAGACATCGAGTCACGGCCACGTAATAAAAGCACGTAGGGTCCGTGCGGCGCGCCAAGAGAAACTGCTCGGTATTCTCTCTTCTCTCCGGCTCTCCTAACCGATCTCGGGTTCCAGTCGCTTCGGGTTGGCTTTCTTACTCTCCGGTCCTCTTGCCCGACGCTGTAGTCGCCAGATACCACCGAGAGTTCCTATACTCTCCACGTACCCGATAATCACGTCGGCTCGACAATAACAACGACGCAGGTAACGAGCCATGCTCGGGTCACAATTTTGCTCCGACACATCCTAGATACATCTTTTCTTGACTTGAAGAATTCCGAGAATCTTCCTAAAAGATGCCAAGAGCACGATTTCATTTGTCAGGCGTCTTTTAAACCTTTTTGATTTTAATAACGTTTGAATTTTTAGACGCTATTTGCATTCATGCCTATGCGTGTCCGGGGAACTTGATCATATACCTAATTATCGAAACATACGCAATTTGCACTTCTTAGGCAACCTTAGAGAGCAGTTCCTTATTAATTGCTTCGATTATTCATTGATTTCGAAAGCATCGGGCTTATTTATTATTGTTATTTATTGTGGTCGATTGTGTCCGGGAGGAACGGGAGAGCGCAACATCAATCATTGTATGTTTTATCTGATTTTTGCGCTTTTGTGTATTACGACGTGGAAGAGTTACGGCTGGTTTATATACAATTTGCATCACGATAATATCAACCGAGGGGCCGGAAACGATAATTCGTTGGGCGGATGAGCTACGTCGGCTCGTATCTCTTCGCTCTCGCGCTCGCTCGCGTTTTCCTTTTCGACGTGATCCAGCGAGATGCACCTGCGTAATTGCTAGCCCTGTGGTAATAACGTAATGGCAACAATGCGGTGGCAAACAGTACCGAATCGCAAGTTATGTTCGTAGCTGAAACGGTTCCGCTGTGTTATGGCACCTTTCCGTAACGTAAAATGCAGATTGAAATACTTTGCTGGCATTTGCGATTAAACGACGATTGCAATCTTTCAGTTTTCTTGCGATTATTCCAAGACAATGGTATACGTGGTGCAAATCATTATTTTAATTACGAAATAATTATCATTTTCTAATAGCTAATCTAATAACTTGAACTGATATTTTCTACGTCAGATTTATTATATTTACCTTTCATTTTCATTTATGTTCCTTGTCATTATCTCAGCATGCGCACTATTGCACTATTGAAAATGATTGAAATTGTTTGAACACGGGAGTAATCTTGGAAATGGTAATCATCTAGTCTGGCTAATCAGCCGTAAAGCCGAAAGTGCATTTCCGCATAGAGCAGGGTTGCACACAGCAAATTGGAACAGAATGAATTATTCCGCGCGTACATTGCAAATATAAACACGCTTAAGGCTAACACGAAGGTATACTTTTGTTAACTTTCTATTAACTCTTTGTAGACATAGGAATTTTCCTGTGCCCTATTGAAACTATTTGTTCTCTCGACTTTGTGCCAGTATGTTAGTCGGATAGCACTGCGAGAATTTATAAAATCAATAACATTGGGACACAAAGAACGAAGAATTTTATCGTTAAAATTGATCTTAACTGTCCGATAGCATGCGTGCAACATATATTTAAACTTTTTGCTCTATTTCGGTGTGTTTCTTTGGTGAATTTTTTACAATGATGATATATTTAGAGGCAAGACTCGACGGTTTCTTTTCGTTGTGCACACTGCTTAACAATTTCGCGCGCGCAGCAAGAAGCGGCGACCAAAGGGAGCGCGGACGCGTTCGACGGTGAAAACGGATGAGTAACGGCCGACAGCCCCCGAGACTGCAAGCACGTTGCAAGTCGATCTCAGGGCCAGCGAGTGTGGCGAAGCCACACGAGCTACACACGGATGAATCTTGTGTACGGGGAAAGGGTCATGGTCATGAGCAAGGTCGTGCTCGCGATTGTGTGCACGGTGCTTAATGCGTGGTGCAACGAGGATAATAGGGCCTACGAATTTCTCGGTACTGTCTTACCGGACCCTGCTCGTCGCCGCTGTTGCGTACACTCCCGGAGATGCAATTACGACGGCCTCCACCGCGGTCGGTGCCTATCGACGCGAACAAATTGAAAGAAAACATCGTTATCCGGTGTTATTTTCATCGGGCAGCGCGCGGCTACCCCGGCACACACGAAGCGATATCGGATATTGCCGCGAAAAATCATCATATCGTGATTGCATATGTATATAGAAGCGCCAATCGGAGCGCTGCCAGCACTTCGTCTATATAAGGTTTGCCACGTGAAATTACCTATTTGATAATATCAACTAAATAGCAATCGGGGCCTTAGCGGCCTCGATGTGGGACGGCCGGGCTTAGTGGTCCCCTTTTCACGCAAAGTAGCATCGTCGTCCGTAGAAAGAAACGATCATTTGTTAAACGGCATCGTACTGTGCTATTAAGTAAGAGCGCACTATTATTACTGAACGCGGTATCTTAAAACTTCAACTAGCTATCTCGGAATATGTACTATATACTAATAATATAATGGCGAAAAAAATAATAATGCTTTGTGCGTATAATAACGTGTTACCTAGTCGCATTGACCCACAATCTTACAACACAATCAACGCTAAATGTATCTGATTATACATTTTTGTGAGAAAATACTTAAAATTTTTTTGTTCGTACAGAACGTATTAAATTCAGTGATTGCGCGAATTCTTTTATGCGGTAAAAAAGATTAAAATATTATATAATTACGTTGAAAAGTATAAGCAGAAACGTTTATAAATAAATATCAATTTAGTGATTAAATGTAAAGTGTGAAAATAGGAGATTATTTTCTGATTATTAACGATGCCGAGGCGGAATTCTTAATAGTACGCTTGCAATATTTTGTTATCGACGCGCTTCAACGTCATAATGATTATGTCGTCACTCTACACGTCATTATTTCCGTGAGCATCATAATGGCGGACTCTCTGTTTACTTTTTGTTACAAAACAACGTTAGAAGGTAAAGCCAAGTGCATCGCGCATCTTCTTAAGACCCGGGTTAAAAAGGGTCGCGCG